TTGGAAAAGGGGTGGACATCAGGGCTGGGCTTTATATTAAATTATAAAACTTGAGTTAAAGTTATTTTGTAATTTATTTGGCGCATTTTAAACATATTTATTTATTTAGTGGTTCATTTATGTGTTTCTGCTTTTATTTTTAATTATGTCAGTGTTGGTTCTCCATATACAAGTGTGTGATTGTCTGTTAGCAAAATGTTCCCTGAACCAGTGTCTTGGAAAAGGGGTGGACATCAGGGCTGGGCTTTATTGGCAAAAAATTAATCACAATTAATTGCAGCATTTAGCCAACAACGATTAAAATGATGATTATTAGGTGACAATTGCACTTGTATGTTTTGGACTCTAAATCAGTTACCCTGTGTTCTAAAATTATACTTACAAATCATCAGTCAAACAAACTTCATCATTTCAGCAGGTTAAAGTAGTCAACCATGAATTGAAATTTTCCACAATGTGAAGTGACAGCACATGTTCAATATTGAAATATGCACATGCTCAAATGCACATGATTGTAAAAGCGCATTGAACACAAAAATGCATCACTGCATTACAATAATTGCAACAATGGGTGGGTTTCACGTGACGTCAACATGCAGTACCACAAGAGCAAAGTTCGGCTGGAAGGCAGGAAGTGAAAAAGGTGGAGGAGCTGCCATCTGATAAATGCACATGTATTGTGTAGTTTACTGGAGCTCCAATCATTCTAACTGAATTAATAATAAATAATTACTGATTAAATTATATATTAACTTTTATTAATGTTCGTCGTATTTGAGGTGCATTGCAGCAGGAGGATGCAAAGGAGGGCTGATTCATGGAGGGAAAAAAAACATCTCAATCCACTCTCCGGTCTCACCCCCACCCTGCTGAACAAACATAAACCCCCCAAACTCCTTTCTGACCGATGCCTGAAATTCTTAAACAAGCAGGGAAAAAAATCTACAGAAAGATGAAAATAAAAAGAGGCGGAAGTTGAWTAAAGTTCGACAGCGATGGAGAGACAGTGAGATCGGAAGTGGACAATGAGATATCCGGAATTTCTTAAATTTACTATATTTAAATAACTATATGTCATAGTTAGAGTGAAGTTTAGTTATTTTTATTGTCTTTGATGCAAAAAAAATGTGGCGATGAACGTGGAGCTCCAGCTGCAGACAGGTGGACCGAGCCACACCCACCAGAACCTTTGCAGAGAGAGGAGGGGTGGTCCACACAAAAAAATAAAAAATAAAATACTGAAGTATTTAATCAAAAAAAATTGAGTCAAGCACTAAGACAGTGTGAATGGAGCTATGGTCTCTCCAGCTTGTCTTAGATCTTTTCCAAGATCTCCTCCCAGTTGGACATGCCTGAATCACCTTCTTCTTTCTTTACTTAAAACTTTGGCATCCAACATTTCTTCAGTGGTTACTGGTTTATGTATACAGTATATATATTTGGAAAAAATCTATATAAAATATACTATTTRTGTGTATTTTCCTCCAAATTTAAGTAAAAACAAGTGTCAAGAAGCCACACTTTGTCCATGCATCATGTTGAGAGCTGCTGTGGGAACATCTTTAAAAGCAGCAACAGCTGAGATACAGATTATTACAACATGACCATCAATCACCCAGAGTGCACTGTGACTGGCAGGTGTCCCCTCTTTTCATCGCTTTTTTATCATCTTCTTTTTACTCACAGCCTGACTGGCAAATGAGATTTTAAAAGCCCAAAAACACACAGTCTGTAACGTACCATCTAACTTTTGAGTTCTGCTGGACTTCTGTGGCCGTTGTAGAGGGTGCACTGTGGTGTTTTGACCTAAAGTCTCTCCAAAAGGATAATGAGCCTCATGGCTACCCAAATGAATGGCGTGGGTGGCGAAGGTTCAGCCTGTCTCTTCATAATGAGCTTCCCCATCCTTTCAAAAAAAATAAGCCTTGAGGCTTTTTTTTCCAGCCTTTTAATTTCTTCTATATGAAACAACAATGGACAAAAAGCAGAGTTCAAACATGTAAACAGCCTAAAGGGTAATCACGAACACCACAGCCTGTAACGGTTCAAGCAAACAATAAGAAATGCAACACCAGCTGACATTTTGAGGTCAGCGTCACTCCGGTCCTCATCTCCGGCTCCTCGGCGTTCCTGATTAGCTGCAGTGACTTTGAGGGGGCCGCGTTCTAGCCGTTTGTCCGTGGAGCTAATTAAGAAAGACGCGCAAAGCAACAAACAAAACAACATATCAGCTACTCCGAATCTCTTCTGAGGGTGCTGAGCAGTACAAACACGCCACTCGGTCGACCCCGCACACCCACMCTCCGCCGCCGACCCCCTCCGGCAGAGGTGCGCCTGCTGCAGCCGAGACGGTGAGGCGCAGGGCGATTCTGGCCATCAAGCTCACGTCACCTTCCTAGAGTAGGCAGGGAACAGAGGTGACCGAGGGAGACAGTTGTTGCAGCACACTACTGTATGATGGGTGAATAAGCTGTGTGAGCATGTGTGTGTGTGTGTGTGGTGGCTGAGTGAACCAGATAAGGACTAGACAGGAGGGAGAGGACAGTCACTCACAGTACAGCAACTTTTCAAGTGCAACGCCTGTCAAGCTACGAACTCCYGTGACAGCCTCACTGCACTCTTAGTGAGCTACTTATTCTCCCCACCGCAGTCAGGATTACAATGCCTGTCCTCACCCCCAACCACCCACCCCCAAAGACCCACCTCAGAAAGCCACAGCTGCTCAGACACACTGGGAAAATTCGACATTCCCATGTCTGTGGTGGAGTAACAGAGAGGAGGAACTAATCAAAAACCATCATGTGGAACTGTGTATTTATCCACACCATTTTGTTTTGTAAAGAAAGAAAAACAAGACTAATGGCTCCCCCAAATTATTCCATTTGGTTATATAGAAAAATCAGAGCTAAACTGACACCTCTACGAGAAAGGTGTRTTTTACTCATCTTTTGTTAGAGGAATCATTACAGAAAGCTGTTGAGAAGAGAAAATAAAAGTGATAATGGCTGTTTTATTGTAGAGTTAAGACACCTGTGGAACAGTGATTTCAATGCTCTCTTTGATAACATCATGAATTCAGAACATCTACTTTCCTCGCCGCGCCGCTCTCTAATTAGCAGCATMCACAGGTGTGAACTCGGCCCGGTGGAAAGAATTGTGATGGCGTTCGCCTTTCKCACGAGCATCAGTCTCCACGTGGAGCGCGCAGCGGGGTCGGAGGAGATCCGGCACCTGAACCTGCAGCCTCRCAGAGCCCCATGATGACAGCTCTCAGCCCAAGTGATTTTTATTTAGACTTTGATGTGACCGCTAATGGCTGYTGACAGACAGGCTCCACTCCCAGTTCATCGCTGTGTGTCTTATTGTATTCCACCCTCCCACCCCCTACCCCCGCTCCCCAATCTTGTAAGCACCAATCTCTGACTTTTCCAAGAATTGATAGGACCCGCTCTTTGGCAGTTTTGTTAAAGCTGTGATAATCCAGACAGGATTACTGAAACGATTCAGTTAGAATGCAACTAATACTTGATGACGGTAAAGCTGAATCCCATTTCACCCCAGCCCAGCTACTACATTCTGAGCATTCTCATCAAGGGTTAGGAGAGACCCATTTTTTATTTGTGTAGAGGAATGTCCGTCTGACTTTAAAAAAAATTAAATAAATAAATAAATAAATTGAGGGGCCACACCATAATACAGAGGGTATTAGCTCATCCAGCCAAATATCTCACAAATATCTCACCTGTGGTGTCCCTCAAGGGTCGGTTCTTGGGCCCCTGCTATTTTCCCTTTCCATGCTGCCTTTAGGTCAAATAATTAATCGGTACAACGTTTTTTTTCACTGTTATTACATCAGAACTGGAGCATCATCATCATCACTGTCATCTCAATCTAATGAAAAGTGTGTTACAAGTTAAATTCATTATTATTATTAAAGATAAGCTGATTTTTTCTTTTAAAACTGGCGAGGCTGTATTCCACCTCTTGCACAATGACCACAGGAACTAAGCACCAGCTCACCTGCTTCCTGCACAGAAAACCAAGTWAAGAAAATATATGGATGTTACATTGTCATGACAACCAAAGTGGCTTTCAGTTTGATGTATTCCATTGTATTATGTTTGGCATTATTGACAATTATCTTTAACAAGCRCAAATTTTGTGTGAATAGAGTCATTTCTTTTCATCATAATAATTTTATAAGCATAACAACCATTGTACTGTATGTCTACTCTGGTGTACGCATTATACATTTGGTATTATTGAAGATTCTTTTAAATAAGATTAAAAATAATGTATGCCGCATGCTAATTAGCTTGTCACACAGCATATAAAGAGAAACTGACACTGCTCTTGTCTACTAAAACAGTAACATCAACAGTTGATGGTATGTGGGCTTTTTGAAAGGATTCCACACTTGGTTGGTGTTAGGGAAAGAATTAATCTCAAGATATTTATTTTTAGATTAGTTGCAATTAATTTCATTATTATGCACAAATTTAAATTATGACTGAAAAATGTTTCGACTACTCAGTTTAGTGTTGCAGTGCTTACAGATAACTTTACTTATAACCGGCCTGACGTT